GAATTAAAGCAGGATTTTGAGCCAGTTTTACATATTTGAAGCAGCAGGCTCTTTGTTGAAAAACATTTCCACGTATCAAGAAATATTCTCTCAAGGCAATGGGACAAGATACCAAAGTCCTCATAAAGAGGATTTGGAGGGACTTTTATTTTTTCCTTCATGGAGACAGTTTCCAGATTTGAACTATTTACCAGAAGAGGGGGGGTTTCATTATTAGTCAAATACAAGTGCCACATACAGACTCTTGGAGTCTGGTAGAGGAAATTTCCAAAAGCAACACTTCTTCAGGTATTTGATCAAGGTTTGTGGTCTTCCTGGCTTTTGACCCCTGTGGTTTATGAATCCCTGTAGTCCCTTGCAGCTGACACTTAGCACCATGAAATTTATTTAAAATTAATATGCAAGAGTTGATTTTTACCTTGTAATGTTAGTTCACTTTGCATATGTGGTTATAGCCCCCTTCTCAATTCTAATGTTCTCTATTTCTGCTTTTTGCCTTATTTGTAGAGGTTTTACCTGTTCTGCTAATATTTTATATAAATTAGATCTTGGGTTTAGCTATCCTTCCATGGGTTTGTATTTAGTTTTTTTAACATACCAATTTCTGATTTTATCTATTAATCAATTTCTTACCCTCTCTTTCTAGTTTCTTGAATTGAATGTTTAATTGATTTATATTCTTAGTTGTTTAGTTATAAAAGTTTAAAACAATGAGTTTTCTCTAAATATAGTTTTGGCCTCTTCTCATAGTTTAACAGAGAGTGGTTTCATTATTTGTGGTTTTTAAATAGTCCGTAATTGTGGCTTTCCCCCCTTTTACCCAAGAATTATTGAAGTGTTTTTCAAGGAGTTAGATTTTTAAGTTATCATTGTTAGTTTCCTTCTTTTACTCAACAAACACTCAGGCCGCCTCTCCTCTGTGTCGGGAACCATACAGCTGCAGGAATAGTAGAGGGAATACAGCCTGCACAGCCACTGCCTCATGGGCTGGGTGGTCAGTCCAGTGAGATACAGATGGAGCCACGCAATTAATCACAATCACAATGAATATTATGGAAGAACAGCTCAGGGTGCCCCACGACTTCTAAATTTGACTACAAGTGAGGTGGTCTGTTGTACTTAGTGAACGTCCCCTCAAGCTTATTTCCTTACCTCTTTTACTGAACGTGAATGCTTTTAGTATCTCTTTGACTCAGGTAGGCGAGTAATTTATTTTCTTGCACATATACCTAATGGTTTCTTCCTGGGGCTTCCTATAAATTCTAAAATCTAAAGGACCCTCAATTCATATGGGGTTTTTAGTTTATGGCTGTACTTGTCATAAAACTTTAAAACATGTATAAGTAAATGCTGTTATTTTTTTGAATGAACAAACGATATTTAAAAAATTAAATCTTAAAATAATTTTTTGGCCTAACCCATGCACATTAATTTTAAAAACCACTAAGTAGTGAAAGGCTTAGTGAAACAATGAGCACCCATCTCTTCATGCTTCATTCATTCCCCAAAGGTAAGCACTTAGCTGTTAGCTGATTCTGCTGGTAGTTTCTGCCACATTCCCACCAGTGTGCTTTTGCTGTAGTTTCTTGGTCCATTTATTTTTGACAGTATTGGGTGACTTGTTTGTATGATAGATGCTGGTTTAGTTTTCCTAATCTTCCCTCATTCTTCACACTCATGTTACGACAGTTAAATTACTTGTTAAGTGAATATTTCATGTTTTAATTATTAGGGATGTGTAAGTAGGGTTCTCTGTAATCAAGTAATAAACTATTAAGGACATGTCCTTTCTGGAATGCTTCTTTGTTTTCCTAGAATTCTAACTCCCTTTAAAAAAAACCAAAAACCTCTTACACTAGCTTCCTTCTATCTAGCAGATATTACACATACATCACACACACACACACACACACACACACACACACACACTCATGACCCTTGAACAATGCCTGTTTGAATTGGACAGGCAGTTCAATTGACCTGTGAAGTTCAAGCCTGCATTGTCCAAGGGTCAACTGTATATGTAGATATAATATTTTATATATAATACATTACATTGTAATATTATAGATTTTTAATATTACATTTTAAATATTATATAGTATTATAATAGAGTTTAATATATGTTTAAATTTAAAATTTTATTTTTATGATATATAGTAAATATATATTTTTCCAACAAATGTGAGGTCCTATCAGGTTTTTATGGCACCTTCTCTTTCTCTGGACACTTCTCCCAGATGTGGACCAGTCATTCATAAGACCTGCTGTTCATCTGTCATCCCAACAAATCCCTTTACTGCTCCTGGATTGGACCCACTGTTTCCTATATCCCATGTCTTCCTGAAGTTGGTTTATTCCTTTATTTTGTTAGAGGAAGTTCTTAAGTAGTTTTTAAATACATGATTGGGAAATAGATGTTCTGAGCTTTCCCATGTCTTCTATCATCCTATGCATTATTATTCAGAAGTCTGATGCTACCTTGACTTTCATTTGTGGACAGAGAGGAGAGAGAAACTTGGAATAAACATTTAAGGATGAGAAACTCACTAAAGGATGGAGCAGACGAGTGAAGCTAACCAGATCCAGCCCTTGGGAGTGTGAGTGTGGGGGGTGGGAGGTGGTGGAGAGTATATGTATAGAGGCAAGGTCCACAGGGGGAGGTGTGCACTGGAGGAACTCAGCTTTCAATTTAGGAAGCATGCAAATGTGACTGCCTTGGTTGTCCCACTCTACCAGAGAAGCCCTGACTTGAGAAATCTGCAGAGCGATTTTCGGGGACATCCTCCAGGGCTCTAAGCTCAGATTGGCCTGGTCCTAGCCATGTCAGGACACAGATGCCATGCTTTTCACCTCTGTGGTGCCATGCATAGAGGTACTCGATAGGCTGGGCAAATTCGATAAATATGGAAGAGGATTTGGGCAATTTCCCAGCTGGGTCCAGAGAGCCAGTGGTATGGGCACTGGGCATCAGCATGGGTCAGCTGCAGTGAAGTGAGGGTTCTAAGTTGCATTAATAAAGAGATGATCTCCTCATCAAGAGAATGAGGGACCTGCCAAACTTTACAATGGGGCAGTTCATAGCTAGAGTGTCTTGTTCTGATCTGGGTGTATATTATTCATTTAGTGACTTTCTCACCCTTAAGTGTTTATTCCAAGTTCCTCTCTCCTCTCTCTCTCATCCATAATTTACTTATTATTTGTCTGGGTTCTTGGTCTCTATTTACTCATCATGTTGCTATAATAGGCATCTCTCCTCTGTGAATTGAATTCCCCAAGGATACCCAGACTGTGATTATGAACCTGAAGCAGAGGCAGTAGTCTTGGCCCCATCTTTGTCACTTGGCTTGGTGAAGAACAGATGAGTTGTATTTTATGGTGCTTTACAAATAGCAAATGGGGGATGGTGTTATTTCCTGTCCATTTGTTAATGTGATGAATTACAGGCTCAAATTAGCAAGCCAGCTAAGCAACCGCTGTCCCTAGCATCTGTGTAGCATCCCCACCCTGACATGTCCTGGATTTCTCAATAGGAAAAAAACAACTTGCTATTTACTCTCTAACTTGTTCAGCCCGGGACCTTCCTTTTAGCTTATTCTTTTACTGCTCCTCCTTGAAGTCCTTACACTGCCACGGCTCAGCTGGGTTGTCACACAGCTATGTCCTCTGTGGGTCCCAGAGGCTGAGGATCGGGGAATTGGGTAGGGCCTGCCCATGGCAACCCAGGCTCCCTGATTTACCAGACATGGCCTGAGTCTTGGATTTGCAGACCTAGGTCTTGGGAACTGCCCTGCACAGTTCTAAAATCTAAAGGGATTACTTCAGTTCCACAGGCCTGCTTTTCCTGGTGCTGGATGTCCCCTGGTCCTGTTCCTCTGCTCTTTGCTGTTTGATAGGCATTGATCACTGGCCTACCTCAGTCTGGCGAATGTGGCAGGTCTGCTGGTCCAGGTCCTTGCACAGATAATTGGGGTCTCAACACCAAACTTGACCAAGGACACTCTAGGACCAAGTTCCCTCTCCATCATACTCCTGGACTCAGCCATTTGATCGCAAATCCCAGAGGCACAGAGTCCTGGAAGCTAAACTTGAGGGTGCCATGTGCTGCGCCAAAGCCAGCTCTCTCCCAGTGACCTCACTAAGACCCTCTTTTTAAGCCTGTTCTCCCAGTGTAGACTCCTCTCCTCAAGGAGACGTGTTGCCATTTCCTGGCACTAGTCCTTGACCTGGGACATGCATGATGACCAGGTTTCCATGCCTTTGTTCCAAAAGCCGCCTATGCACATTGAACCACTCTTTTCCTGGTGACTAGCTTTACACACCAGAGATCTCAGTCATAAAGGATCTCGCTTCTCTAATCTCTGGCCTGTGGATACCTGTTCCTCCTATATTTTCTCAACTAAGTCATCACTTAGATGACTGCATATGGATTAAAAAGCTTGGCTTCTTTTTAATTAAAATACCATAACCAGTGTAAATATGACCCAGACATAGACTATAGGGAGTCTGACTGTGGCACAGCACACACAGGTGAATCGTGTGAAGTTTCCCGGGGCTTTCAGCAGTGACAGAGATGCTGAGGAGAGAGCCTGGAGCTTTGGACTCAGGGAAAGAGGCTGATGTAGCTGTGCATTACTCTGGGGCATGGAACAATTTGCTTTACACTCTGGGCTCCTTGCTGTTGTAGGGTCTGTACATCATGGAGGCAGGTGCTGTGCAAGGGGCTCTGGCATCATGTAGAACAGTGGACCAGGTAGCTTCAGAGCTGTCTTCCAGGTGTGAGAGCTACGAAAAGTGACAGACCGAGGCCATGGAACGTCCCGTCCCGTCTCAGCACGAAGCTGCCTCTTAAACCCTTTAGTTGTGCTCAGGATTCAGCACAGCACAGACACGCCATTCGGATGTCTCCTTTTAATCTTTGCCCACAGTTGTTTTTTCTCTTTAGCTTCTTCCGGTTTATTTCTCTTCTTTCTCATACATATGTGTTCTTCTCACTCCAGCTTTTGAATCGAAAAGACAAGACCACCTTTGAGAAGTTGGACTACTTGTTGTCTAAAGAAGATAATTACAAGCGGACTCGGGAATACATCCGAAGCCTGAAGATGGTTCCTAGTATTCCATACCTAGGTAGGAGTCTGGATCAGTTATTATGTATTAAGAAACCTGCTTGGTACCAAATAAGATGTTTTGTAGTTTCTAGTTGAGAATTTTCCAGGAAGCAACAGCATGGGCCATGGATAAAGAGGTAATTAATTGGTTGGCTCCTTGGATTGAAATAGGTTGATGATACTTCCCAAGGATGGGAACCTTGATGAAGGCCTTGACACAAGGGATATTCTGCTTCTCACACAAGTGTCCAGTGGATCCCAAGCCTCCCCAACCTGCAGCCCAGAAAGGTCACAAGACTCTTACTGGTTCATCTGTATCCTCCCAAACTGAGGGAACTCAGGCCCCAAAGCCTCTGTTTTGATTCTCTGGACATTATTAATGTGCGTGTGTGTGTGTGTGTGTGTGTGTGTGTGTGTGTGTGTAAATCCTAACCCGTGGATATGTTATTGATGTTTTAAAAATTGATTTTAGAGAGAGAGAGGAAGGGAGAAAGAGAAAGACAGAGAAACATGGATGTGAGAGAGAAACATCAATTAGTTGCCTCCCCTATGCATCCCGACAGGAGACTGAATCAGCCACCTAGCTATGCGGTCTGATCTGGAATTGAACTGGCAACCTTCTGGTGCTTGGATGACGCTCTAACCCACTTAGCCACACCAGCCAGTGCTTTGTACTAACAAAATTAAAATAATGATTATTGATTCTTCTGATTAGAAAATAATACACATTTATTGTAAAAAATTAGGAAGAAATTTACTATAATTTGTTATCCCACCTACAGATAATCTTGTTTTGCTTCATATCATTTGATTTATTTGGTTGCATTTAAAAAATATATGTTTATACTATTGTGAACATGTAATATTATTATTTTATACTGTGATTCAACCCCATTAACTCTAATTTTATGAAAAAATATTTCTATCTTTTTATGATCTAAAAACAAGGGAAAATAAGGTTTTGTAGAAGTGACCTCTAAGCCTAAGATGGTTTGGCTCAGTGGTAGAGCATCGGTCTGCGGACTGAAAGGTCCCAGATTCGATTCCAGTCAAGGGCATGTACTTTGGTTGCGGGCACATCTTCAGTAGGGAATGTACAAGAGGCAGCTGGTCGATGTTTCTTTCTCATTGACGTTTCTAACTCTCTATCTCTCTCCCTTCCTCTCTGTAAAAAATCAATAAAATATATATATATATTTTTTAAAAAGTGACCTCTAATATTTTCAGGGATCTAATGCATTTTGCTGGACATATGTTTTTGACAACTTCAAAATTTCTTCCACAAGCATGGTTAATTTAGATTTTTCTAATTCTCTCAAAGCCAATTTGGAAAATTGAATTTTAGTAGAAAATTGTCCATTTGATCCAAGTTCTAAAAATGAGTAGCATAGCATTTTTTCCTCATTTTTGTGACCATAGAGTTTTATATGATACTCTCTTAAAAATTTTAACCTCTGGTGGTTATATTTGCTTTGTATTCCTAATAGTGTGCATTTTCCTTTCCTCTTTCTTTAACTTGTTTTGCCAGGGGTATGTCTGTTGTCTTTCCCGAGACTGAGACTTTGTATTTATTTGTCAGGCACATTATCTTGCTTTCTGATTCATTGTGTTTGTCAGTTTAGAGGTGCTTTCTCTCCACATTCTAATACTCTGAAATTGGGAAGCATCTTTCCATTGATGGTTACAGAGCATGTGGCATTGCTTAATTGACAGCAGTTTTTCTTATACATAAAATAATGGTTCACCTTATATTATATGACATCCTAAATTTGATGAAAAATGGAATTTCTGCTTTTGTCTTTTTTAATGCATTGCTCCTGTTTTCCCTAAATTATTTTTTACATTAGTTTAGAATATGTAAAATATATGCTGTCTAGGTTTTTAAAAATGTTTGAGATTTGTCTTGTGGGTTAATATAAGATCAGTTTTTGTAATTGTTTCCTGGGTGCTGGAAAAGAGGACGTAATTTCTCAAATTGCTATTGTAGTTACTCAATTATAATATTCAAATGAATACTTTAGACCACTTCGTCTCAGGACAGGACTATATGTTGGAATTCCCTTCCCCTGCATTATTGAATAAATAGAAGTTTTTAAAGTTGTAGATTTATTTCACAGTGTCCCCTACAAAGTGATCTTGGTTACATTTATTATTTGCTTTTACTTCTTTGAAATATTTAAATCTGTGAAATGTTTTATTTTTCCTTTGCACTCATTTTATAAATCTTTAACTATATTTTGGATTTTAATGTTTTAAATTGCTTTGTCTTAGGAGTGAGCCTTGAAAACAGCATTTGTTGGACCCCATATGTGAGACCTGGCCTTTTAATAGGGGAGTAAAAGTCCCACATTTGTTTCATCTTAGCCATATTATTGGGTTGAATATCATTTTTTGCTCATGTTTTCTCATCCTTTCCTCATCTCCTCTCATGGCTGGCTGTGGACTGTGATGCTTTTCTATGGTCACTGGCAGATCCCCTCTCACATCCAGAGATGGAGAGCATGTTGATTGCATAGCTCCAAGCCCACTCCCACTTTGCTGGAGGCTAATCAATCGAAAGATGAGATTGATGGTATTGGGATGAGGACAGCCTACCACAGTCCACTGGTCCCATTAGCAGGTGCTCCAGGGTCATTAGAGATGGCCTCTTCTCTCTCATGAGAAAACAGGAGAACTACCGTGGACGGTCTGCTTTTTCTGTGCCTGGCACTTCGCTAAGCTTTTTCATGCATTATTGCAGTGAATGCTCACAGTAGCCTAGTGAATAGGCAGGCGCAGAGAGGTTGCCTGGGGTCAAATACTGGAAAGTGGCAGAGCCAGGACTCTTCCCAGATGGTCTGGCTTAAAGCCCTGGGCTTTTAGCACTGCCCTCTCCTGACTCCCCACCTCTCCTGTGCAGGTCATTATTTTCCTCTTCTCCCTAGGGTTGCCACCTGTACGTCCTCTGGCATTTATGACTGTGGATGGCTTCCATCGGGCGCTGTATGAAGTGAGATGGACTGTGGTACTCTCTGTTCTTGGGCCACAAAGCGGTGCTGCCTGGGGTTCCCGAGGGCATTAGTCCATGGCCTCAGCCACGGGCAAACTGGACCAATACCATCTCCCCTTTGTGACCCATGTCCCTTGTCATTTGACCATGCATATGTGCCCCAGGTCCCCCCACTACAGACGAGTCCTGTCCTCAGGCCCTGGCCAGAGGCGTCCTGTGCGTCCCCATGAAAGCTCTCATTCGGCTTATAGTGGACAGGTGGCCTGTGCGGCCCTGAGGCCTCTCCATCACCGCTCTCAGCTGCTGCTTCACGGCAGGTGCTTCCCAAGAGTCCGAATAGGCCCCATTCTCCTGCAAGGCCTCCTGCTGCCGCCTCTGAGCCAGCCAGCTTCTCTGCCTCCTGCGGTCCCTTCAGCCTTACAGTGATCCCCTCTCCCCTTGAGCCAATTGCATTGCATTCCACATACCTCAGAATACTCCTGACATATGCAGGAGTCGTAGCTGCCGCAGCTTCATTGAAAAGAGCGAAGCAGGATCCCATTCTGAGTCTCAGTGGGCCCTACATCCAGAGGGCAGCTCAGAGCCCTGCCTGCACGTCTGATTGCCTTGGACAGATGCTGCCAAGCGCAGGTCGTGGTTTCAGTACTGGATTCCTCTTGAAAACCCAACCTGCTTTGGGGATGAGTTTGTTTATGGAAAGAGGAATCATTACATAATTCCTGGAAAGTGCAGAATAGGAAAAAATGGCCTGAAACAGCTTTTCCCCCGGCAGAGTCCTCCCTGTAGGACTTTCCCAGGGGGAGAGGGAGTTAGGCTTGGGGAGAGACTTTGGGTCAGTCCCTGGTATTTCCAGCTGCTTAGCTCCGTGGCTTGAGGCCTTGAATGCCACCTAAGCAGCTATTTGCCTCTCGCAGCTGGTATGGGTTTTACTGGGATGATTCTCCTAAACGTCTGTGGATGTTCTGTGCTAACTGGTCTCCTGGGACTCTTCACCGTGTATCTCTTTCTCTGTGGAAAAATGCCCTCACACAGGACTAGTAGCCCTCACCGTGTGCGTTCCAAGGCCTTTCCATGCAAGTCTCCGGCACTGAAAGCTTTGGTACATTGAGTTCCTCATGAAATATAATTTAAAAAACACTAAGAGAAAAACTACACTTAAAAAATAAGACTCTTTGTATCAAACACTTTCTTTTTAATTATTTCAAAGTATAAAAATACTGGTGGGAAATAGTCATATTGCAGCTTAATTTTATCTGATAGCAACTTGTAAATGTCTAGTTCAGTTTGAAATAATGATAAAAGCAGGCAGAGCTTTGAAGGATGGTTACACCATTTATTTCTAAATAGCTTTATTGACTTAGAGAATGGTTTTCACTACCTATAATTCCTTCCAGGAAATAGCTAAATAAAATGAGGAATGTAATGCATTTTCAAAGATTTAGAGCTGATTCTAAAAGTATATGCAGTGTGGAAAATTATAATCTCTCAAGGAACAAAACTCAGGCATTCTGACAATTCTGAATAGTAAGAGAACATTTAAACATTCTTGGTAAATTTACTCAGACTTCTAATATGTGAAGTAAATATCTAGAATCTAAGCTATTCATTTTTTTTAAAGTGTAAGCCTTTATTTTCAAAGATGAACTTTGAAATTGAAAATAAAGGCAAGTCATTTCTGAGTATTAAATAAACAGACCCACACTATTAGATTTCTAAAAGGACTTGAAAAGAGAAGTGTCATTGGTCACAAAGAAGTGTTTACACTGAGGCCCCGAAGCCCTCAGGACAGTGGGGTGAGAGAAGGGCTCCTGCAGGCCCTCGGCAAGGAGGGGGTGTCTCCACGCGGTCCCAGCTGATCAGCAGGCCTCTGTCAGCTGATGCACTCCCGGACTCCGGTTCTAATCTGGGCAGCTCACATCCCAGTTCTGATCACAGGCAGTGAACACAAAACCAAAAAGCGAGTTGAGCACTATGAAGGGAAAGACAAAGGAGTAAATAAAGGGGGGCCAACCCAGTCTCGGGAACCAGGA